TGAATGTTCGAGATGATGCCAAGAAAACTTCTTTCACTACTGGCCAGAACCTTGCTCCTTATTATATTAGCAGAGTTTTAGCTGTATAGGCCGTTAGGCCCCATCTTATTTTTGTGGCCAAGCACCTATGAGGTACTTTCCAATGTTTCAATCCGAGCCAAATATTTTTGGCCGAAGACAGCTAGGTAATGACTTTCGTCTCTGACAATGCGTCGCAGTAACTGCAGGCAACCTAATGGAAGCCCATGGCCTTGGCAGGATCCTTGAGACGGGCAGACGGATAGTTTGAGTCATTGCCGAGCTTCCAAAAGAAAATGGCCTGATCCTGTTGCGGGGTAGAACTTGCGCAGAGTCCTAACACTGAATTGATCTTAATGTACTCGGATAGGTATTTGGTCAACCTTATGTGCCACTTCGTTCACTAATCGGTGGGTGAGACGCTGCCATGGGACAGGCAAACGTGTTAGTGGCGATAAAAGTCAGTGTGATGGTTAGAAACAGAAAGTTCTTGCTGCACGATATGTTTTGGGAAACGATAAAACAAGCCACATCAGCGCGCAGACGTCACTGTGACGTTCCAACCCCAATGCGCTTAGAGGTCAGAAATAATAGTAAGAGGAAACGTCACCGATTTATTTAGCAGAACCCAGCTCGGGGCAGGACCGGGCGTATATCGGGCTGGTATGAACGGAACAAGAAATGTGCCCCTTAGCATTATCCAGTAAGCATTTCTTCACTCAGTCGGAACTTGGGCAAATATCGAAAAAAAATCATTCATGTTACAGAAGGGCTTAAAGGGAGGTGCGAACGAATAAATCAGTGTACAAAACGACGTCCTCATGGACTTTGAAGCCTGCAACACTGGGGAAACCCTACCCTGGGAGTTAATGGTGTTCACGTTGGATATTTACCGGCTTTGTGTGTATCACCTTCTCTCGATATATTTTGAAGGAAATGCGAAAACGAACTGACTGCCGCTCGATCTTAGAGGCATCAATCCTGAATTCGGTATTATATTCCAGTAGAACTTCAGTGTAACATTGTCGTTGCCGCGCAGGCCGTGGCCGTCATCCCAGAAGGGATATTTGCCCGCCATGCTCTTGTAGTCGATATTGTAGTTTTCTCCCCTCCTAATAATTTTGTCCCAAAGGACAACTTGGTTCAGTTCATTATCTTTGGTTTTATACTCGGCTGCTAGCAGAATGAACAGCTGCTTGACATTCCAGTTGAAAAGTTCACCCACGTTTGCCTGCAAATATAATGATGCAAGATCCCCTTACCTTTACTGACATCCGCACGCGTCCCAGGTCATTGTTTATTGGGCGACTGGCCGTGTAGTCGTCAGCAACCTGAACAACAACGTGGCTTACACCCAAATCGACAGGGATCTGCTTATCAACAAAAGCAGTAGACAAGAAGCAAAGAAACATTAGAGTTGACATGGTTGATGCTAGAACTGCCGTTAAAGCACTAATGCGCGCAAATATTGAGTGCATTATTGCAATAAGCTGAGGGAAACTGCTGTAGTCAACTCGGAAATTCGGTAATCGAAGAATCACACGTCAACCAGCTCCGCCCAATCAAAATTGAGACCAATATGTAGGCGTAGTTAAAGACTGTTAATGAAATCAGGAACCAAAGTTTTCAATTTCCTATTCTCCTTGAAAATACCGAGGAAGTATGCGGTCACCTTATATGATTAATCATCTTTTATCTACTTGGTGGTTAGAGTTGTCAATATATTTTTCTTAAGAAGTTCCCATGGGCATTTGTTTGGCCGCCACAGCAATGATCTAATTAGGTGAACACTTGTTTCTAAGCTTCCGATCGCCCTCTAAAGCCCTTTTTCTCGGCATGCTCGTAATGAGAAAACGCGGACGAGTGACATTGACAGAAAATCAGAAACCGACATTGGCGTTCTCGTTCCGGATAGTTGTTATCCCTGAGTGGTTAGAACTTAAGCCTGATCCTTAGTTTTATTCCTTTGTCACTAGAGAAGTGCAGAGTAAAACGGCAATGAAGTAGTTTTGGATGGCGAACATACTACACCTTGACGTTTTTTGTCATAGTGCTCCCCCGTAAGATATTTCATAGAAAAAGTCAAGACTGCCAAATCCCTGATTCAGACCGAACTTCAACCTCCGTTTGTAGAGTTGGGTATGCCGTAAACAAAAATAGTACCCCCGAAAAGGGCGAACGATCAAGACGCCGTGGTAAGTGGGCAGTCTTACATTAGTCCTGTCGAATCAAACCTTCCTAAATAAGAGAATGGCGGTAACCGGGATATCCCTGACGAAATCTCTGCGCGTATCGTTGGATCATAATGCCATCGAGTTTATGGGAGTAAATGCATTGTCATAAAGGGCATGTCTGAATCTGTCTCCGACACTCCAAAGGACAGATTACAGCATGGCATACAATTATTCCAGCAATATCTCAAATCGCTTCTAAGAGGAGATGAGAAAGTCACCGTATTGAAGATTTCAAAATGAGCCGAATAAGAAACTCCAAACATGAACTAGACCGACCGAGACCAGTAAAAATAGTCTTCCAGATTGGGGAACAAACACAGCTTCTGTTTAGCAGAGAATCTGCGCTTAAAAATGCCCACCCGTCAGTTTTTTCTGCAGGACTTTTCGCGAGCAGGGAGAGAGAAATGGAGGGGGCTTGCATTGGAAGTCCTTAAGCGATCGGGTTCGGGCGATAAAAATCCCAGAATACTGAAGGGGATAATTATACGCGTCCAGAGACCATTCCTCTCGAGAAAGCCTATAAGCCTAACAGCTTAGGAATGATAGAAAGCAGTCCATCTCGATCAGCTTCGGCCGGCTTTTGCTTTCAATCCCATGAAATGGACAGACGCCTGTTTGCCGGAGTTGTTCAGTCCAGATTAAGATTTTCGTATACTAATGCTCAACCTCTTGTTTCGAAGCTCAAAGACTTCGGAGCGCTCGTT